CCACCACAACCCCCGCCGAGGTGTTACTTCAAGGAACAATGACAAGGAAAATTGATAAATAGGAATCAACAAAGCGGAATAAGTAAATGTGTAGGCTCCTGTTCAAAGGTGTAAGGCTCATTAATGGTGTTGTTGTGCACTATATTTACACAACAGCTCCACACTTGTTTTTTCTTCCTCCTCCCTTTCCTTCTACTGACAAACTGTTTAATGACAAAACAAGCAAAAGCATTTAATCACATAAACAAAGAGACGCCTGTTTTTTGAGTAATGATGATTTATGTCTCCGGCTTTTGAAGGCACTTCTCAAAGTTGACGATGAGATTGAAGCTTCAGAAGCGCATCTATTATGGAAATGTCCTCTTCGGGAGCACTGTGGGCAGCACGTTATTAGTATCTAGGATGAATATATGCAAGCACATGTGCAAGGGCCCGCATCACCGCTATATGCTTAGCATCCAATTTTGTATTCAATTAAGGGTGGGGGGTTGTAATAACGTCATACGTGGCATGCGTGAGGACAATTTACATATTCATCCTCCTCGAGGCTCATATTCTCCTTCTGTCCTTCATACTCTTATTTATTAATATAGTTTTAAAGCATCTGCATCCTCTTATATCTGATGCTGATGCAAGTTTGGGTTGCAGTAGGTGCCAGTGCTAGTACATGTTTATTTAATGCATGAAAGCAGTTTCTATACTGGTGGATATCTGCTGACAGTAATTGATTGTTTTGCAGACCGACCTTAATGACCAGGGATATTGCATAGTGTGATTTTGCTTTTTAGCATTTCTGTTTTTTTGCATGCATAATTCTGCACCTCTCATTGATTGAAAGACAAAGCTGTTTGTGAGCAGCTTTTTTTGTTTTCGTCTGCTCTTTTGCATTGTTGTGGTCTTTTTTTTTTTTTTTGCATACATGCACTTTTTTGGTGTTCATATATGTGTCTCGGCTCCAGGATGGCATGTAAGTGTACAGTATACGGGGAGCACGCATGCTCCTGATACCAAATGTGCCTGTGTTTGTGGTTCGAGTGCTTGTTGAAGCGTGTTTGTCTCATTGAAAAATGTACTCTGAAGTAAATATTTCTCATCTGGGGACAAACATACATCAGTCAGCCGTGCAGCAGATTATATATGATGGTGGAGGAAGCTTTTTTTTTTCCTCCACCATCATATATCCGCACTCATCCCTTCGTTTTCCTGCATTTTTCACTCTCGATGTAAATGCCGTCACGGGCATATAGATAGCATTTCTAACTCCACCTGATCAGCGCTTCTCTTCCCAGAACCATTATGTACATACGTTACGTTTAGAGCGATCACTGAATAAAGACACTCACTTGTTTAAGAGAGTCCGGAAACCCACTCATACAAACCCAGGCACTCGGACGGAAAACATCAACCAACAAAGCGGTCGAGACACATTTGATCTTAGCTTTGCTGTTAATAGCCAAACAAGAAATTGCATAATATTATGGATTGTAATTTTAATTGAATTAATTTCAGAGGACATCGTAAGGCACTGATGGTGTCATAAAACACTTGTTATAGCTGCTGTTTATCACACTGATGTAAATTATGCCCAGTGATTGCTCAATGATGCTTTACTTCAGGGACATGATGTTGGGAGAAAAAAAATGTAATTGGCTCCAAAGGGCATATGATGTGTTGGTGCTGTGAGGGAGAAACACAAAAGAGGGTTATTTCCTCTCCAGCTACGTTTTTCTTTTCCCTTTTTTTTGTTTTGTTTTGTTTTGTTTTTTTCGCCGGCTGACATCGCCGTACTGTGTCGCTTTCTGCTTTTCATGTAGATGGAAGCAAAATTTAAAAAGCGGAGCACATCTACAGTATGTTGGGTTTTGTTTAGAAAAGAGACGTGAGCTTTCTGTGTATACGAGGGGGAAAAGAAGCCTGCTCCTGCAAAGTAAATGACACTAGAGTAGAAATCATTACGAAGTATTGAAGATTGTAACGGTCTTGTGTTACCATCAAAGCTGCAAAATCTAATCCTGTGTGATAATATAAAACAAGCATATATAGTTGCAGTCGTTACAGGAATATAATTGTTGTTATTATCATTTCATTTTTTAGATTTTAACATTTATATGTTATAAGTGTTTTTTTTCTGACGGCATCATAACAACTTTATCATCTTATCAGCCCCTGACTTGGGAGTTGATGTGGTCAGCAGGACAGATGAGTCATGGGGTCTGTGTGAAGCAAGAAATCTGCCCTGGACATCATGGCTCAGCACACTGACAGCTGGTGCACCCTTGTTGTTGTGTGTGTGCATTTGAGGATGTGTGTTCTGAATTGTCTCTCAAGAGAAAAGCAGCTGCAGACAAATATCAGGGCAAAACTTGGCGTGTTTCTTTTAAAAAACGACAAGAATTTTAAAGAAGAAGAAGAAGAAAGAATCCCGGTTTCTTTACAGGAAAATCTGCAGGAGTCCAAACAGCGGCCTGGCCCCAGGAACTCATTCACCATATTGTAGCAATTAAAACAGTGTCATGGCTGTATGATCAACAAGGGAGACGTTTAGCGTCCGCTGTTTGTTGTTTGCGCGCGTACAGAATAATCTGGCAATGGGCTCGGATGCATTTCACAATTAACAGCGGCCCGAGCCAATCACACTCAGCGGAATATAATGCAGGGCTGTACGTCTTGATTTGTGCACTGACCCGCAAGAAGTCAGTTAAGTGGCTGATACTCCCTATGTGTGCGAGCGAGCAAGCGCGTGTGCACGTTGACTTTGAAGTATGTTGTGTCGTGACAATAATCTAAGCCAATTTAGTACGCATCAGCCCTCCATTATGGGTTTGACATAAAGCGGTGCGTGACTTGAATTCTCTTCCGTAAAATGACAATTTGCTTCTCAAAAGAAATTACGTGTTTAACCTCATTAACCTAAAGCACATGCACTAAAACGGAAGGCTAACCGCCCTCCCTTGCACCCCTTGTGACACACTCAAAAACACAAATTGGCAACATCATCAAAAGTTGAGAGTTCGCTCTGAATGTGACCCCTTGCAAATGGGAAGTCAGTGGCGAGTTAACATCGGTAGTTCGTCCAGTCATTTCACAACTTGTCAGCCTTCTCGGGTGGCTTGGGTTTCACTCTGTTTCAACATCATCTGTCCTCTATGAGATGATTAACCTGGCAGGTGCGAGGTGAGTCTCGCCTACTGTTTTAGTGAGCTGTCGTCCTCAGTCTGCAGGGAGTACAGGGGGGTCAGCCCAGCCGGCTAATGGCCGTAGTCACAAAGCTGGAATCAGGCCCACTTGAAGAACTGGCCATCATTAGGAACAACACATTGTCAAACAGCCTGACCTGCCGGGCCCACGCTGTTTATTAGCAAAGTTTTTGGCTCTCCTTTAAAGCAATTATATTCTCCATCCAAGATGAACTGTGGCCTAAACATACACTCGCATGCGCAGTCAGTAATGTCAGGCGCTCGAATAGAAAGCTGTCTTTTTTTCTTTTTTTTTTTCCCTCTGCAAATGCATGCAATAGGAAAATGTGTTCGGAAAATGAGGAAAACGGGAAAAATGGCAACGTGTCAGCAAGTGATGTATGTCGTTCATTGGACACAGAACATTTAGTTTTCATTAAGAGTTAAACATGTACACGCAACATTAATGGGGTTCAGTGACAGCAGCAGCGCCGCGCCTCACTGTATCTCAACCTGATAAATTAGCAACTCAGCACACAGGGGTACAAGGGAAAGAAAGGGAGAAGAAAGAGAGACAATAATATAATGTGTAGTGGGGGAGGAACTGACAGATAATGTCTTCATCTGAAGATTGGTATTTATGATGCAATGTAATATTATCCCTGACCCGGGCATCGGCAAGCTGTAAGGATGAACAAAGGCCGGGCGAGGGAGGACGACAGGAGTGGGGGGGAGAGGTCAGCACGAGTGCTGGCGTTTTCATTGTGTGAGATGTGGACTGCCGTCCTCTCCCTCCGCACAGGGAGTGATGGAGAAGGTTGTTAATTCCTGGTTTGTCAGCCATATTGGATTCAGGGCAGTAAATTAATATCGCACTCCTTTTAGAGGGGTTTTATTTTGGGATTTACCGGTCTCCCTTGAGTGTCGGTGGTGTAAAGAGGTTATTTCCCTCTTTCTACTCCGTTCTGTGTCCTCTCGCTATCTCTCGCGCAAGGCTAATATGTTTAGAGAGAGCGAGAAAGTGTGTTCATGGAGGAAGGATGTGTGCGCTGCAGGCTCTTTTGTGTCACTCAGCATTTGGATAGCACATTTTTCAGCGAGAAGTCTGCCGTAAATTGTGGCATCATCCGAGCAAGGACAGCTCCCTATCTCCGAGGTGTTTCTCTCCCCCTCCCGCCTCCTTCCTTTACATGTCATTTATATGTCATGTTAGATTTTAAAGGAATAAAAAGACATCTACTGGATATAGGAAGTGATTTTAAGTTAACAGGCTGTTTAGCTGTCAGTCATCAACCTTCCCTGCCTCGTGCCCTGTCGTGTTTAATGTGGGTAGAGTTAGAGTCCCGGATGAAGAACCATATAACACAGTGTGAAGTGGCCTAGTCGTTGAGATGGGGATTTATGGCTGCTGGTCCATCAGTGGTGATGTTAAAGGGCTGTGATTAAGAGCTGGAGTAAAGACATGGACTTTGCTATCCCGGCGACCCAGCCAAGAGTACGCGAGGCTGATCTCCATCACTGCCAACTCTGCTCCACGCAGCTCCGTCTCACTTTTTTTTGCTCTTTGTCCATCTGTCTCTCTCTGTCTTCTTCTGCCTCGCTCGTGTGCATATGTATGAGCTCAAATTCACCAAGGACTCCCAATCCCTGCATTAGATATTTTCTTGCGTTTTCGCTCACCAGTCAAGCAGTCACAACAACGAAGTACGACAAGGTTCAGCTCCTGCTTTCATGACAACTTGAAATACTTAGAAAGCTTTTCTTTTTCACTTTTATTTGACATCTCTCTGAATATCTTTTCCCTCCTCCTCTTTATCCTCCAAGGTTCTGAGCACGCTGCCACGGCGACGCTTCCCGCCGCCTTCTCGGACCTGTTACCTCACTTCCTGGTAGAGCCGGAGGACGAGTACATCGTAAAGAACAAGCCGGTGACTCTGACCTGCCGCTCCACCCCGGCCACGCAGATCTACTTCAAGTGCAACGGCGAGTGGGTTCACCAAGATGACCACTTGATTGAACGGACTGTTGACCCAGCAACAGGTAAACCAGACGCAAAATCTGTGAACCACATAGATAACCAATTTTCACTGAATTATGCCTCTATTTGGACTCCTTCTGTGCAGTGTTTCAACCCAGATATGAGCCAGTTTTCTTTTCTTTTCTTTTTTTTTTTTTTGCATTTTGTCTGCTACAGATGTATGACATGTGCAACTTCATAGAATCATTATGTAAAGTGTTTGTGTGCTGAAACCTGGATTTGCAATTTGCCAGTGATTACTGTGCTCCATCGGGCTCTTGGCTCATCCTCCAGCCTATTTAGCCTGCCAGTCTCATAATAAGCACATTGGTTTCAGTCTCAGAAATCTTCTCGATCACCTTGGAGACCTGTTTGTTTTTCTCTCCGTTGTGCTGCAGTCCCCCGCCTCCACCATCAGTGTCATAAACATGTATGACACTGATGTGGTGTGATTCAGCAGCGATCTGCAAAATTCAAACCACTCATTTACAGCCTGACAACTGATTGGGAATGAGAAACGTGGCCGTGACAGGTTTTTCGGGGGTACACGTGCACACATGCACTTGTGGCTGGCTGTACATAGCAAAGCCATGTTTGAAAAGCGGATGAAGTGCAACAACTGAGAGATGCATGAAAAGATAGGCACATCAGTCGGCTTCTTCACACAGACACAAAGGGAATTCAGGAAACTCTGAAGAGAAATTTAATCAGAAATATATTAATTCATATGCAAACACTGCCGCTTTGTTTTAAGATGAAGAGCTCACAGTTTTAACATTTTATCCATCTGGGCTACAGGGTTCGGAATTAACATTCAGCACCTCGGCAAATGTAGGCACAAAAAAAGGCATGCTCATCTAACTTTAACTGTCTAGATATCAATTCAGCCCGAAACTTCGGTAGGTGAGGACGTCTGATCTAGTCTCCAAAATTTTCCCACAACGAGGCTTTGATTGGTGTACGTGCAGGCTTGTCCCTTCCCGTTCTGCTCTTTTCTTTTTTTCTTAATAAAACAAATCTCCTGTTTTTGTTTTCTAATGAGCATCTTTGAGAAATGTTTGGTGATTTTAAACTTCAAATTCTCCCAGGTACACAGCTTGTTTATAGCTCTTCCTGTCGTGTCTCACAACCTCGCTGTCACTCACACGCCGTCTGTCGATGGCGGGCTGTTTTGGCTTCTTCTGTTTTTTTTCTTTTTGGCATCAGGGTCTTTAAATAATGGCAACAAAACAAAAAGTATGAAAAGTTGACTGTAGTTCTTTGCTGAAGATGGGAGGGGGAAAACATGAGCACACAAGGGAGCGCTTGTGTGATTTGCATCATTAGGAAGAAATTCTCAGCGAGTCAACAGCGATAAAATTTGATTTCCCTTCTTGTGTTAACAGCTCTGCTCTCACAGTTTGGTACAGTTGTTAATCGGAGTGATACGAATGGAAGTGCTTTTTTTAGTTTGTCAAATAAATGGTAAACATCTACTAGCCACGGGTGAATGCAAACACTTAGCAAGCCGTGACGTGCAGCGGTTTTACTGCTATTCTGTAAACAAACTTCATAATGTCGCAGCCAATAACTGTCCAATAATCTCCTTTTAAAAACATTATTATTGAAAATCAAAATATCAGAGAAACCTGGCTGCAGATTTCTCTCACGTGTGCACTGGTTTCTTTGCAGCTCCTTACCGGCACACGTGCTCGTGACAAAAGAAAGTAGAAAACGGAAAAGTGTGGCAGCAGTGCAGCTGGCAGAAGAAGAGATAATTAATTAGAATAATTACACGAAAATTGCGACTGAAATTGAAATTAACACGAGCGCTCTAGAAACTTTTAAAGTGGCCTCTAGCTTTTGATCACTTTGAAATTCTGGCTTGTTCAAGCCGTTAACACAAGTGTTACACTCTCTGGTTATCACGTCTTTTGTCGCTATCCTTCCATTCATCCGTCCACCCCACTAAATGCTTTTCGAGTGAGGTTGGCGTGGGGCTGGAGTTGAGCCCAGCTGGACAAACAGCCCTATGCGCTCAGACAATCGGCCAATTACAAATCATCAGTTAATTTAACCTTTTGTAAAGCCACTGGGCCAGCGTCTTTAAACAACATAGTCAAAATAAGTATTCATGTAAGCAATGTTCCTGGTTACCTGTATAACCTTGGGTTTCTCTGTTTAATTTATGGTCTGTCCACACTGCATTTCAGACCGTCTGAAACCCCCGCCTGCCAGCCCTCTCAGACGTCTGATAGTGATATCTCTTTAGCTTATTTTAACTCGGTGTCTGGCTGGATGGGTTGTCAGAAAATGTGTTATCACTGTTTTTACACAATATTTGCTCCTGTTTCTCCCTTCCAATTTATAATGGCTGTTCCCCCCCCCCCCCGTCCACTTTTATAAGAGCTAGAAAAACACACTTGATCTCAGATCCGTTTTGAACAGTGCGTCTTAAGTTGAGAGTGACCTGTTTATTTAAATAGACACGCTGACTGGATGATGTACAGTCGCTGATATGCAGCGAGCACCGGGTGACGTTGTGGAGGCTGCTCCTTAACTTCGATCTGCGGGATATGAATAGTTTTGTCAATAGCTAAAAAGAACATGACGTGCCCCATAAACTGCTGACTTTATGGGGAACAACATTACTAATGCGATGTTGCTCTGCCAACGTTTAATGATGATGGACCATTTGCCATGTCGTTATGAGCCGTTATAGTTGGCATTTATTTGTCTATGAAACAAATCCGTCGTGCTGGGTGCCACAGACCCCCCGCAGCAAGCGAGGGTCTCGGTCTTTAGAAACCCTGTGAAGTTCCAAGGCTTCCTCACAGCTCCGAATATCAGTCTGCAGTCCCGCTGCCTTTGATGAGGGATGTTTCATATGTGGAGCTGTGCAGTTATGAAGGACGCGTGGTTGTCCAGAGGTAAGGCTGCTCCAAGGTACCTGCATCGATCTCTCAAACACTTGTGCTGTTTAATGTCAGCACTGCCCCGAGGAGTTTACTGATGGCTCCGTCTAATCCCACTTCTTGCAAGAAATGTGTAAGGTGCACACATCAAACAGTGGTAAAGCGTGCGTGCATGTGTGTGTGTGTGTATGTAGCACAGGCTTGTCAGGTTGTTCTTACCCTGGATGTCACACTCACACCGGACTCTAAACTCCTACCTGTTGCCAAGCAACCAGGACTTCTGTCACACCAGAAGCTGCCCGATATCAACATCCTGCCTTAAGGTGGGAAGAATGAGGAGTTTGGACTTGTATCGAACTTGAAAAAAATTGATTGACAATTTATACCTGGTGGAGCAGTGGGAAAAATCACCTTGTCAAAATAACACATTTCTACTAGAGAAATTTTGAACATTTTTCTGCGTGATTGCAGTTTCTCCTGCCCGTGTTTTGCACCCAGTGCTTTTGCTATTAAGAAGGCCAGAGATGTAAATGGTCACATGATCAGCCAAAAGCTGTCAGAAAGCTCCTGAGTTATCAGCCTCGGTTTAAGCTGATTAGCATTCTTGTCAAGGGTCCTCCTTTCTTTTCTTATGCAAATGAAAAGGATGCTCTTAATTGCAACAATAAATTAATAGAAATTGCACACAAACACATCAAAATCAAGAGTCACTGTCGGAGATGTTGTGCAGATTTATTGCTTATTGTCCTCTATTCAGACGGGATTTTTCTTCCAGTCTTTGATGGCTAAGTGGCTGTTCAACAATGAGGCACACATGCAGTTTGAAGTTTTGATTGTGAAAGAAGCAGCAGGCCCGCTGTCGTGGTCTGCACTGTCCGTCGATTTTTCTCCATTCTTTTCTCATGTTTTCGTGCCTCCCTTGTATACTTTGACAGCATGCACAGTGTTGACCACCGATTTGGACTCTTTGATGTATTTATTTTGTTAGCATCAGTGTTGTGTCCTGGTTGCACACGTGTGCACCTGTGTACACGCTCAAAAAGCATGCAGGCTTCTAAGGGTCTCCTCTGCAAACATTTCATATCATTTTATATCATGAGCTGTAATTGAACATTTTAATCAGCTGCCTCTCCTGCGAGTCCTCTTGGACTGCAGCTGGTAGAAGCTGGTTGCTGTGCTGTGCAGGCTCGGTGAGATCTGAGTAGTTTATGTGAAGCAGTTCTTTACCTGCTGGAGATTCTGGTCATAAAGGGAACAGATGCTCAAGCGGCTGAAAATAAGAGTGAGGAGATCGTCCGCTGATGTCAGTTGTTAAAGATGTCATTCTCTCACATCAGCGGAGAAAAAAAATATGTGTCGGTGTGAGTTTGTGTGGTCAGCAACTCTTCCTGTTATATTTTGAAGGATTACTGCATTTCTTGCTGCTTTATCGTCCCCTCTAGTTTACCTGTGCTTCATTATTACCGCACATCCATCTCTGAGCCTTCCCTCCACATTTTCCTCCACACCTTTGATTCTCCATTTGGTAATTATTTTTCCTACTTTGGCTTTGCCGGCTTTTTCCTGCCTTTTTTCTTTCACTGAAGAAACTTTCGTTAATCTCCAGCACTTGCCTGCCTGAAAAACCACCACCAGTGATATTGGTACAAAAATAAATGAAAGGTAATAATTAAGCTGTTTGTCAGCAAAAGTGTGAAAAAATGTATTATTCATTAACCAAGAAAAACACCTCCACCCTCCACCCCCCACCCCCAGATGTTTCTGAGCCCGTTTGAGTATTTTGGAAAATGTTTTAATCTGCAGTGAAACTTATCAGGGTGAAATTAGAGTTAAAACTTAACCTTACTTATTATTGGAGTTTCACTCAGAGCCCTACTGAAACCTTTTTGCAGCATGCTCTGGCTAAGACATGCAGACTTGAATAATTGACTATATATATAACTAATAATAGAGTAATAACACGTTGATAGGCAATAATAGTGTTTGTTATATGGTGTCATGAAGTCCATACAAATAAGTCAAATCTGAAACAATATCTTCTCAATAGCAACTGAGCATTTTAAACCAGCACATTAAATTAAAAGCTAGAAGAGACGGTGCCTGCTTTCTGCAGCCGCGATTTGAACGTG